AAAAGGCAACACAGAAAGAGAGACAGAGCCCTTAGACAGTGTGTAACTGTTCTGAAACAGCTCCTGTAAAATAGATGATGCCTCCAATTAAATGTGCCCACAGACTGGAGAAAGTTGAAGGCTGTGGAGGTTTGGATGGTACGCCAGTTGTTGGCTTTCTCAGCTGTGTCGTCCTGAGCCAGCCTCACCTGGGATGTGGGGAGTTTATGCTATTTACCTTTTACACAGAATTATAAATGATTAGTTGAGCCTTTTCTGTACAGCATCTGACAACAAGCGAAAATATGCGAACCTTTATGTCTTTGGAAGTATGTCGGAATAAGGCTGCAGTTAATGATTGGTGTCTTTATTGATTAATCTGCTGAAAGTTTTGGCCAGTAAAATGTCAGAAAGTAGTAAAAAATTCCCGACACAATTTTCTGAAGTTTAAAAAAGTATTTCACCGCTGGAATGATTTTTTTTTTCTCATACAACTGGGCTGTTTATGTGATAGAAGCACTAAATACCTTGGAAATTTAAAACAGGAAAAAGGCTATGGTATTCACTTTTGCTCAAGAGGTGGAAACCCTACAACTAACAGGACCAATAAATGCTTCTGTTGATGCAAGCTCGGCTGTTTTTCCACAGGAAACAATATGGTGGCTGGCTAGTAACAAACAATCTCGTGTCACAATTAAACAGTGAGCTAAAACATGTTTATGAAAACATTTGATGCGAGGAAATAGGCAACTCAGTAACAGAATCTTGGTTTATATTTGTTTGGCACTGCTTAGCCTCTGTTTTTACACTACAAGAAACAGTATGGCGCCCACTTCCTGTTCATAGCTTCTCTTATTACAGCCAAACTGTCCACTAAAATATGTCTCTGATGACCTTTTAGGTGAGGAAAGGCAATACAGAAACAGAAATTGGTTTGTATTTGATAATCACTGCCTAGTGCATTTGATCTGAGTTTGGTCTACATTTGAGAGAGAGCAATGTCATGCCAATAAAGCTTATTGATTTGAATTGAACTGAACTGAATTAAATTGAATTGAGAGAGTGTGGGTCTCGCCCTCATTCTGCTTCTACTCTTTGTATTCATGGTGGCAGGTATACAAAATGCTGAAATGCATTCTGTAGTTTGAGCGCCAACCATAGAGCCAGCGACAATCAGCTAGATTAAGATGATGTCATCATATTGCTTATGTTGTCTCAACAACCTTCCACAATCCAAAGATATACAGTTTATCACGTAAGACTAAGAAAAGCAGCACACCGTTACTGTAGGTGAGCTGGGACTGGGGAAAGTTTTGCAATAAACAATTATCAAAGAATTGCTTATTATTTTTTGGTTTAGCTTTATCGAGGAGTCAGAGAAGACAGAAGTAATTCTCTCCAACTGTGTTTAGCCCATTTTATGGTGCTTGCTCTGCACTAGTAAAATTAATTGCCCGGCAAATATATTTTCTTTCTACCATATCATTATTAACAAAACGGTGAGGTTTTGAGTTGAGATAAAACAGAGCTGGACGGTTCTATGCAGTGTGTCTGATTTCTGATCCAGCCTTTACATCCCCCTCAATCTAATTTGTGCCTTCAACTTTTTCTATACTAATTCTTTCCTACAGTTACATTAGAGGAATGAGTTGAATTAAGGCTCACTGGTCCTGGTGTGAGTGTAATGTAATGGAATAATGGGCTTGTTAAATGGACCTTTGGGGATGGGGATCTCTAACAAGTGAGTCAGAGCAAGGCCTCTGGGCCAGGGTTATTTAAATTGTTAATAGCCGTTTAAACAGGAGGGGAATATTTTAAACACTAACGAGCAACAAGTCAGGGGCATTAACACTGAATTATTTCTCTTCTCCTGCTTTGTTTTTATCAACTGTACATTTTTTTAATACCCCACATTTTTGTCGTTGTGAATTCTATGTTTATTTTGATTTTGTGCAATTTAATGTAGTGTATAAACTTCTATATGTGTTTTCTATATATGTTAACATTTGCAAAATGCAGCTTTAGGAAATCCTTCATATGATCTTTTGTATGTCAATTACTCAGTGTATAACCTTGAATTTGTGAGTTTAACTGTTGTTTTTCTTGCATGTCTCCACGGTGAACGAAGAATCCAAAAAGACTGAACATTCTTCACATATTTAAGTAAAGGGAGCGGCCGCATTTAACAACAGCAAAACTATATGAAAACATCTGTTTTCAAACTCTGAAAATGTTTGTATTGACGTGTTTTGAATTGTAATGTTTTAGTGAATGCATGTGTTTGGGAAATACTGAGCATACGCCTTTTTTGGATTCTTCGTTCACTGTAGAGGCATGAGAGAGAAAAGCGTTTTCTTGCCAAATTCTAGATAACATGCTGTGAGTAATTGATAATCAAATGGTCATTTTGCGGTTGAAGTATTATTTTTTATATCAGCGACTACCAAAACAATTCCCACATCAACATGAGCTAAGATATTATTACTGGAGAGACCAGTTAACTGTATTTTTTGCACAGGTGTTGACAGTTTTGGGGTGGAGGCCTTGTCTACATCTAGTGTATGATGATGATGATGATGATGAAATGATACATCACTCTATGCAAATAGTCTCTTTCTTCGATTATTCTTCGTCATTGCCCTACAACTTCTTCTTACCAGTAACTAATGAAGTTTTACACAGACCACTGCACAGCATGGCTTAAATAAGATGAATGGAAATGTAGATACATGCCAGAGCGTGAGTAATGCAAGAGAAGATACATGATAAAGACAATAAACACCACACAGTCCCTCGGGAGGTGTGGAGTACACCCCTAATGGCTCAGTTTGGTGGTGGGTGTGGGAGTGTGGGGGATCCCTCATCATTGTATTCTTGGAATGATGAGAGATTTTTGGAGGACTTGGGAGAGACCTTAATTGCCGCACAGCCAAAGAAAATGTTTATTTTAACAAGCTATGATGAAACTTTTTTGATTTCTACCTTTACTCTGGAACTCCATTGAAAGTGCCACTCTTGAGCAGATGTGGTGTTTTCAATGTCATACAATTAGCTTTTTCTCCCACTAACATGTAATTTTAATTACCTATAATTCACTGACACTAGTGTTGTTTCAGCTCTGGCGGATATCCCTTTTCTCAAGTGTGTAAAGGTCTCCGTCTTGATCAAGGTTGGGTATTGTAGCTCCCTTCTAGCAAGGCTAAAAAAACTGATTGGATCTTAACAAAAAACCTACTGTTAGTGTTGAGAAATTATTACACTATAGTGTCCTAACTTTTCTGTAGCAGCTGTTACAGTTGTCAAGGGCAGCCATTCACGTGTGGATGGTCTGTATAGCTTCACAGTGTACAGCACTACTGAAAATCTTGGCTTCATATCGTTCTTTAGATAGCACGAGCACTCTGCTCTCAATACACAAAAACCTGAATCCACTGTGGTTACATCTCTGTCCACTGAAAGTATCTTTTCATCAAGGCTGTTCATCATGTCCCTTCCTTTTTTTTTGTTTTAATATATATATATTTTTTTTTGTTACCGAAACGTTCACTTAGCCACAATTCTCTTTTAAAACATCCCTTAGCAGAATGAGAGTAATGATCGCTCAGTGCTCAGGCTAAGCTATCATCGGAGGCCTTTTCTCCTGCCACCTCATCCATACTTGCCATCAAAAACAAAAAAACTCCACTGCTACAGTCCTTGTCACACACATTTATTTAAAAAAAAAAAAAAAAAAAAAAAAGCCACAGCCGTGACAGAGATGGATAGATGTGCTTATTTGTCTCTTTAACAGAAGATTTCTGCAACAGCTCCTTTCCTGTTTATCCCTTGTTCTTCTCCAATGGGGACGGGGGAGGGCTTGTATTTTTATGGTTATTAATACCTGCACTCAGGCTTTTAATCTGCCCTATTTGTCACATGTGACTGTCTGACTGCACTGTTTAATCTGGGTATCCTTCAATCTGTCTCGTCCCAGATTAGAAATTAATGAAGGCAGGAAGAGACACATTTGAGTCACTTACAGTGTAGGGGGGTAAAAGGGACGGGATGAATGGGAGACGAGCGTCGTTCATTTGACAGTGCTCTTTCTTTTTTCTACTTTTCCCTGATCCCCTCTCTCTATCTCTCCCTCTATTTCCCTCTCTCTCTCTCTTCTCTTGTTTAGCTGCCAGATGTAGCCCATTTTTGCACTGCTCCCCCCAAACAGGCGCTCAGCACGTGGGCCCTTTGGTGTGCGGCACCTGTGTAGTGTAATACAGTCAGCAACTGCGTTGTTTATTCCGGATTTGTTTGGTGCGCTTGAAAGCCTGTCTTTGATCCATGCAAAGATTCTTCACTTCTTTTCCTTTTTTTTCCTGATTCATCCTCAGCCTCCCTCATTTTTAAACGCTAATGCTGTAGCAGTATGGTTACATTGATGGCAGCGGTGGGTTTTTTTTTTGGGGGGGAGGGGGCAGCTTATTTGGTTTATCTTTTTTTTTTTGCTTTTCTTTTCTCGTCCTCAACCCAAGGGACAGGAAAATGACAGTGACCACTGACAAGCTTGTCAGGTGCCTTGTCGGGGATGTTTTATAACTGTGCGTTAATGTGTTTACATCTGCAACTGACAAAGAGGCATTTAAAAAAGAGTGGCTTAATGAATATTGCATTGGCTGAGTGGACCCCACTGGCAGGCTGGATGCTGGGGTATTGTTGTCTAGAACTTGTTGTCTATTTACTTCAGCATTTTAAGAAGGTTTAAAAAACACTTCCCATTGCTACAATGTTCTACTACCTGCCCGCCTGACACTCCCTCTAGACAGCATTGCCTCTGTACACTCACAATTTTGCACAATGATTGCATGCTGATCTTATCCCATAATCATATCACATTATTCCCACTTTATTCATGATCTTGAGACATAGTTGAAAGACAGAAGAAAGTGTTTTACACTCCAAAAGGGAGTACAGATCATTGAAGACCATTCCTAATATTTCAGGTAGTCCAAGAATATGGATACAACATTTTTGTGCTTCTCTTACAGAACAAGTGGGTCAGGAGATTCTTTCCAACCTGCACAGTGACCGTGAGAAGATCCAAAGAGCCAGAGAAAGGGTGAGTACACACATGCCCACCTGCACACACACTCATCTGTCTATTCTAACAAGTGTTTGTGAGGCTGTAAAAGGTGTTACAGCTGGTTAGCAACATTGACAACACTCAGCACGCTCTGCACGGTTTGACAAGTAAACACATGCAAACATGGAAGACAAACTGTCTTGGGTATCAACCCAGTAGCCAGGAGAAGATGCTGGTGCAATACATTTCTGCACACCACAGATATGTTGCATCTGTTTGTTTCATACTTATCATGCCAAGGTTTCTGAAGTTGACATGGTATATGAGCTGACTTTGTCATGGGTAGGTGGAGGGGATGGTGGATGGCGTGACACCTAGGTGAGATGGCTGTCAAGCTGCAGACCACTATTTGAGACAAACAAATGTTTTTTAAGTGAGACAACGGTGGCATGACCAGCGACAACTGACCACAAGCAGGTATATTAAGCCAAATCAGGATCTTTTCCTCATCATAACCAAATGTTTTTGTGCTTAAATATAACCACAAGTTCACCGCAGTGCTGTTGAACTGTTAAGAAATGTAAAGTTTCAATAAAATGCAACATAATAATGTACAAATGTTACATATCTGTAGTTTGCAGAAATGTATAACGACAAGATTTATTCTGGCGATTGGGTTATGGGATGCTTACACAGCAGAATTGTATTGACAAGTTAGTTAATGTGCTTATTTTTTGATATCACTGTATTGCATTCAAGTAGGATTTGTTTTTCTTTAGTTTAATTAGTGGTAAATTGTTGAGGATAATGTTCAGAATCCAAATCACATGTAGGCAATACTTGTGGCGATATAATGCAGGCTTTTCCCCCTCTTCTTCCTCTCACCTGAACGGGCTTAACTTTGCCAACTGCCATCCTTCCTCACCTCCCCTCCTTTACCTCTCAGCACCTTTCTCCAATTTCCCCCTATCCTTCCCACTTTCCCTCAGAGAGCCCCCCTCCCCTCAATCCTTACCACTGCCCCTCCTTGCATCCAGCCGACTAAACAGACAGGTAGGCAGAGACAGAAAAGACCAAACACAGGAAGGGGGCCCAGCCCTGACGGCACCCTCAACGCAGAATGCTTAAAGACCACAACATGGCAGCGGGCCTTGCACAGGCGATTTCAAAGGAAATCAAACATCTCCTTTCAAAAACAGTCCACGGTGTCTACTGAGAGTACCTGCTCTCTCTCTCTTTTGCTTTCTCTCTCCGTCCATCCCATGAGTCTTCTTTGCTCAACCCCCCCGACCATATGTACACACACATGCACGCACTCAGAGGGCTTTAAAGGTAGTTTGTGGGGCAAAAGTAAAGTAAAAGGAAATCAAGATGTAAAGACACAGGATGGAAGGGCTGGTTAACAGCTCTTTTGCATTAAAAAGAAGGTGAAGGCGCTATAGTTTTACCCCAAACACCAACATATGAACAATCAAACAGACATACACAAATGTACACTTACAAGCGCGCACACACATGCACAAAGCCCTATGCTCAGTGGGGGGTGTGGCCTTTTGTTTTGCTTTTATGGTACAAATAGAAGTCAATGGAGGGTTTCAACACCGGGGCAAAGCAGTACTCAGTGGATTGAAGAATGTGATCTAACAATTCTCCAGGTGAGCTCATACAGAGGCCAACAGGTAGCAGGAAAAGGCTGTTTCAATATTAATTCCCTTAGATTAGTATTAATATCCTTAAATCAATAATGAATGACTAAATTTAGGGAACAAAATGAGCAATTTGTGTGGACAAATCATTCATTTGTTCCCTCAAATGAATAATTCTCGCCTTAAAATCACAAACTCATACTGTCAGGTTACTGCATTTGTCCTCTCCCTTCCCTGGTGATCACACATCTTCCCCCCATAGCCTGTAATCTTTGCTTTGTTTGTGCATCTATCTGTAGCTACAAATTAGGCACCATAAATTAAATAATTTCAGGGCACTTCGCCACTACTTTAACTACTTCCTGCAGGAGGCTACAGTCCATCAGGAACAAAGTCTCCTGCACAAAAACAGTTTTTACACAACTGCAGCTGGCCTCATCAACAAGGCCCAGGACCCCACTGGCATGGACTCTTATCCTGATCCACTCCTGGCGTTGTGCATTAACACCCATCCTTACTATCGCCCCTCTTGCACATATTTTTGTACTTAGACTATGAATTTTAACATCCCCTGGACAACAGTTTGCACATTTCTCCACAACTGTACACTTTAAAAAAGACACTTAAGTAACAGATATATTTTTACTTTTTCTAATATTTGTCCATACTCTGTTGTACATTTTATTATTTTATAGTATGCCTTTATACTTTGCACTCTGTGTATTGTTATGCATCAGATTACCAAGTCGAATTCCTTGTATGTAAAGCCCCTCTCTGCAATAAAGCCTTTCTAATAGCCGCTTAGCCTCTTTCCCTGACTGTCCAGATTGGCCGCGATGAGCTATAACTGTAGTGTCAATAGTTAGAATAACTAAGATAACAATTTAAGGGAATGAAATATGTATTTTTAGGGAAGGATTAGTCATTTGAGAGCTCATATTATTTTTTATGACTTAAGTTAAGAAACAAAATTTAACAAAACCAGCCACCTCAACAGAAACACCCACACAGATGGAAAAAAAATTAATTAGGTACAGATTGACTTATACTAATAGATAGAATATAGATGAAACCAATAACTTAAGTAAGTTAAAGTACCAGTATTAACATGACATGTGAGTCATCTTGTCAGGGTCCGGCCATACAACTGTTAAGTGTCCATTCACAGTCCGTAACAGGTGTCAAAAAAGTGTAAATGTTTCCCTCCTCCTGCGGCGCCATCGCCACGTCCACCCTCCTGCATTCATTACAATCCCAACAAGACCTGATCGCACCACTGACAACATGTCTCTGTATGTATACGACTACACTTTTTATACAAACACATCATACATTTTATAACAACACCATTATATCAATGGTGGAACTTTTACCCTGTTTTTTACAAAAGCCCTCTTTTGTCACTATAGATTGAAGCGATATGGATCAGAGACTACTTTTAAATTTTATGCACAAGCTTGCTGTATTTTATAATAATAATAATAATAAAGGATATGTATATATTTCAATCCTGGACCCAGGGTGTCTTTTGAGAATGTTCTGTTGCGGAGCTGTTCATTAAAAATGAAAACACCATCCTCTTCTTGTTTCCATATAGTTCATTTTAGACACTCAAACTGCACTAAAATTTCAGTCGGTTTCCATTTCAGGTTAAAGAAGAAAGCATGAGATTTGGTGAGAGGCTGTGGAGAAAGAGAGGGAGAGAGGAATGGAAAGAAGGAATGATTCAGAGAGAGATGTATTTTGGGAGAAAGTGTGAAGTATCTAGGGGACAGATCTGTGGGTAGAGTCAGACATCAGGCAACTGCAGGACTTGTTGTCTTTGCCAGAGGGCCCATACCCCAGGTCCCCCACCTCCTACCCTGTACCACATGTATCCTTGGCTCTCGCAACCTGCATCGCACCAACCCAGGCTGCCAGAGGGTAGGAAGGATGGATGGAAGAAAAGGAAAAAAGTAGCAGTAAAGAAGGGATGGGAAGAGAGGGCGAATTGCAGGCGAGAGAGATGACTGCAAGATGAGCCAGAACAAACGGGAAAAAGAGTGATGCTGGAACCACTGTAGAGAAGAGGATGGTTGGAAGGAGAGGTGTGAAAGTGAGGAATTAAAAATAGAATAGAATCCAGTATAATACACTGATGAAAACACACTGAGTGAGAGCGGCTTTATTGGGAAAGCAGTTATTATCTCAGAGAGAGATGAAGATGAATGACTCCCTGCTGACTCCAGAGAGAACCTCTCTGCAAAAATTCTTCCCCACACTCCCTCATCATCCTCTAGAAATGCGACTACAGGTACACGTTGGTGGCAGCTCACTCAGTGCGGTGTCAGCACTTTTTTTTTTTTTTTTTTTGTCACACTTGCACCTTGTTGGCAACATCTCTGCCAGTTCCTTTTCCCAGTGAAAGTCCCTACACCTGATAAAGAGGATAGAATGAAAACATCTCTGTGACCCACAAGGGAAAAAAGGCAGAGAGAAAGAAAAGAGAGAAGATGGAGCGAGAGAAAGGAAAATATCCAAGGCAATTAGCCCTGAATAGCCATGTTCATTATTTGAAGTGTGCCTTCAAGGACTCCCTGTGCTTGCCATGTACATCAACAGTAGGGTCCTTCTCACTCATTTACCTACACCATTCTCATGTTTGCTTTGCAGCAAGATGAGCAGGAGGCTATCAGAATGACATGTCCTCCAAAGTGGGAATCTGCCGTTGAGCACTTGTTTAAAGTTACAGAGATTTTACTTATACAAAAGCGCTAACAAAGGCTCATGCTTCTAGACTTATGATTATGTTTGGGTAAATTTTGCAGCTTTTTAAACAGGATCTAAAAGTATCTTTAAAGGGGGGTTGTCTCCAGACGGGTGAACCAGTAACCTAAAGGTAAAAAAAGCAATCTTCTTATCAAAGGGTGTCTGATTCATCTCTCTAGCTTGCAACCAACAACTTTAGGTGGAAGAATAAAGTGTCAAACTTTAGAGGTGCCTTCTCAAATTGCCCTTGAGCAAGGTACTTTGCCTTCAGGCCAGTAGTACAAGGCTGTGCAGCTGTGTAGCCTTGCACAAGCTTACAGCACTACTGTAATAACTGTGAGGACTTTAACCCTTTTACAGCAATTAAAGGGTTTTGGAAAGAAATGTGTGTGTGTGTGTATATTTAAGGTCCTCTCACTTTAATCCATCAAGCTGTTGCTGGCATAAGATATAGTGTGCTCATTGGCAGTTTTCTCAGTTACATTACAAGAAATAACCTTTGTTCTTTCTCTGTTTTTAATTGCACAATGAGATGGTCAGTTGTTGAATGGTTTTAATAGATGGAGACATTTTTATTTTCTTTCATTTTTACTCCTGTAGTTTCTTTCTGGATCAGAATGCAAACTAAAACTTGTCATCACTTCTGTCCCCCCAGCTGAGAGAAACGGACGCCAACCTGGGCAAGAGTTCTCGAATCCTCACCGGCATGCTGAGAAGGTAAGAGGCAGGTACGGACCTTGTTTCTGCACCTCTCTGTATGTACCTGTTCTGTGAGCTTGCTACAAGTCATCACCATCTAATTATGTTTATAATTAGATCAAAATGATCCATCTTTCCATTTGTGATAAGTCTGTGTCGCTGTTGGCCACCTTTTTTGCATTGAAGTGGTTTTCCAGAGAACTCTGGTAGGGATGGATAAACAAGCAAATACACATAGATGGATGAATGTGTCCAGAACATTTACATGTTAAGGCACATATCCCAATTGATAATGTTTATCTATCAACAGTAGTTACTAGTTAGGTTCTAATTTTGTCCACTGAAGTGGAATTTTATTTGGATGAAATTTATCAAACAGCTTCTCAACAAGGTGCAGCTGTGACATATAATTATTATTAGGCATTTAGTAGTTGATAACAATACTGATAAATTTGCACAATTCTCAATATGGTAAAAACAAAAAATAAATCCCATGTAGTAACGCCTTTATAAAAGCATTTAAATTTAATGTAATTTAAATGTTATTAATCCCTGATGATCAGGGCCTCAAAAGCAAAGTACTCATCTATGTCGGTTCGACTTTGTGGGTGAGTGGTGGTCCAGAGTTCTCCTCAGTCATTAGTTCAAGGTCCACACAGTTTAATATATTCAGCATCATACTTGTGTTTGGCCATGTCGTTGAGCTAGTTTGCTGCCTCTGTTAAACAGCTGTCAGTTGGTCACTCTCTCTGTAGCAAGAAACAACACTTCAAAATTAAAGCTTTGTGCTGGAAATTTACTGTACTTCAATATAAATCATGTTTTTTATGAACTTGACATGTTCGCGAGTCACTTGCGGTCCATTCAGAATGGACTTGTGAACCACTTTTGGACCAGCACCCACCGTTTGGGAACCACTGGTCTACAGTATATTAACATGTTTCCCCTCTATTGTTGTTGCTGTTCAGCACTTGCATATGTAAGATGTGACAGTTGGCCTTTGTGGTAGGCTATTTTTACTGCCCCTCCTCCACTGTGATTGGACGACAGGGTAAAAAGTGACGGTGATGAGCGCAGCTTTAATAAAAGTTGAACAATTTTCAACTTTTAGCTACCAGAAAAAGCCAAATGTGCAGCGCTCAGTGCAGAACACTTATCGTTTTGTCAAGTTGCTGGTGTCTGTAGCACAGAGTAAATATGCAGTGCTCCTGTTGCAAAGAATTAGCAAAATAAGGTGGCTTCAGGTAGGCCAGTAGACATTCTTCTTCCTTTGGCATTTAACAGCAGATTAGCACTACCACAGAGAATATGCTGCTCCATCAGGTGTGGAAGAATTGTATCCCAAGTACCTACGATACTGCAAAAAAAATGAGTACTGAGTTCTGACTGATTTCTAAAGGTCCTGATTAGTTGTATATTCCATCAATATGACACTTACTGTATGTCTGAACGAACTACACTAACAAACAATGTGAATGCCCGTACTGTTATATGCTAAGGTATTGTTGTTAAGTGGCTGGGTAGACTAAGAGAAACAGTAGCCCAGCATAGCATCTTGCAGGAAAAGGCTGGAAAAGACAAGTGCGCACTGTACACGTCTCCATTCTTTTCTTCTCTTTGCCTTTGTTTTTCAGAAAATGCACTTACAACCCGTATCCAACTCGCTGTCTTTGTCTCTCTCGCCTGCTAGTTCATGCACAAAGCAGCCCCCAACAATCACACAAACACAAGCATTCACACGCAAATATTTCAATAGTCCTTGCATTATCTTATGCACCCGCCACCTAACACACTCACACATACGCACAGTCTCACACAGACACATACACACACACATGCACATACACACACACCGTAATGTCTTGTCACATCTCCATTTTATAAAGTGCCTGTGTGCCTACCCCTGAACCGTGACGCCACGGTTTTGTTTCTCGCTCTCTCTCTTTCTTGTTTTTTTTTCTCCCTGTCGCCCACTGTGGATTTTGATTAAGAGTAATATGTAAATGACACCGACTAAATGTAAAATTCTGGGGCCAGGAAGGAAGTGCCAATTGAAATAGATGCTTCAGTGCCCGTAGACAATTTGGAGGGCGGCTCACAGGGCGGCCAGCAGTTACTAGAGAGGGAAGGCCTGAGAAGGGCTGTGACGCCGACTGTAACCAATATTTCTGCATATGTCTCCATTTTGTCAAGTCTGATTATGGGAAGAGGAGGAGGATCGCGGGGGGGTCAGCTCGCCTGGCATGTCACCCAAAGCTGTCCAGAAATCATTCATCATTCCCTCCTCCTTCCCTCTTTTTTTCCCTCCACCCCCCTCCGGTGCTGAAGTAAATAACACACTTATTTCAATATTATCATATTAATGTTAAAGTTCAGCTGTCACCTAATGGGAAGACTTAATCAGACGTAGCATTTTAAGAGGCAAGCTGCCACCCCCCCCTTTCCCACTCTCCAGCCTCCTCTCTTGACGTGCCTTTCCTCCTCTGGTTAGCGCCCCGCTCAAATCAGGATTTATGAGGGCCTTCCAAAGTGGGGCCCGGCTGCGAGCCCCTTCGACTACCGCCCGCCTTTCTGCTTGATGGGAGCAGCACAACATACAACCCCCCGTCATTCCTTAACAAAAAGTCTTTTTTTTTCTCTTTTCGTTTCTTCGCTGTTTGAATAAAAGAGAGTGTGTTTTGTTGTAAGGTTGCGGGCTGGAAACGTCAAATCTGAAGTAATTTATAACCAGAGATAGAGAACTGAGAGCGAAAAGTAAGTTCAGGATGGTTCAATGATATATCACCCCCCACCCCCTTTTAGGCAATTCGTCCTCATTTCCCCATTCATTTCATTATTTGCTCCCGCGGTTTCTGCCTTTTTGATTAATTGTGTATTTGTGTGCGATGTCAAAGCAATTGTAGTTTCTTTACACTGTTGTTGGGGTTGGGGGGGTGGTTGCTTTGTCATTCTCCACTTGTTTGTCTCAGCTGTGGACTTCTTTGGTGTTATTATAACCTGTGCTCTTACGACACTAACCTGATTGTTTGTTTAATCATTTTTAGAGTTCCTTTTTTTGTAATGCAGTAATTATCTAAATTTGAAAGCCAATGTAAAAGCCACTTAAGCATGTATTAATATTTGGTAAGAATTTCTGTGTTGATATGACATATCAGATAGTTTCTAACGATATTTAGGTTTACGCAACAGTTTCTTTATATTTTGAATAGTGTATGGTTGTGGACCATACTAATTTTATATGTATATATTCATTTTATTTATGTGTTAGATTACAGGCACAAGTTATTTACACCAGGTATGGTGCCATAAGGCAGTTAGGTGCGCATGACAGTAGGAGAGGGTGGACAACGTGGTGCATATAAGACGCTGTGAAAGTTGTCTTGATTTGGACTGTAACAAGTTTTTGACCGTGTCATGCAGTGTTTAAGTATAATAACAGGAATACGATGAGAATATATAGAAATAGGACATTGACTCGGTAGTGGATCGTACAAGAAAGGAAAAACTTGTCCTGTCTTTTTTGGTATTCTCAATAAACCTCGTTCAACTTTTCCCTGCCTCACGTGAGTACTATGGATCTCCAGAAAAGGAACAGAAACACGAGTCAAAACCGAGACACCTCACAAACTAAGTGGCCAAGGGACTTTGGTATGTTGAAACGGCCACTACAGCCAACATCGCATTTTTGTTTGATTTGAGCAATAGTTTTATATTAATACAGCCTCTTTCACACATGCAGTCTATCCCTGAACTGTTAAGGAACATTCCCGCATGGGGTCATGTGTGAATGGCAGCAGGGATCAATATTCAGGGGTATCTTTACGGACCAAAGTAAAATTTCAAGGAAAATAACAATAGGGCTGTGTTGTGATAGACAACACAGCCCTAACACTGCAGGGACAAGCACATAAAGAGTTACATCCGTCTGATGAAAGACACTTTCACATGGAGCGAGCAAACCAAACTCAAGATGCTGCTTAATAGATGAAATATTTGAATTCGCAACTTTTTTGCAGTATAGCATTTATGCCAACATTACTTATCTCGCAAACTTGTTGAATATTAAAGATATACTATGCAGGATTTTCCCATAAAACAATGTGTAGACTCATACAGAATTTATCCCTCTCACACATCACTTATTACCCACTAGACGTGCATGGCAGTGTAATTTTCTGCACAGACTCTGCCCTTTACCTGTATTGTCTTATTTTCTTTAGATTTTCTGTGTTCAGGACATTTTTTCACATGTAATCCAGCCATTCAAGAGACACTGTGCTGAAAAAACACAAATGTAGCATGGCAAAATGCTAATCGAGAATTAGTCTGGGGTTGGCTTTTCCTTACGCTCTCACTGGTGGGCCTGTCTTTAAAACAGTAACTGATAATCTTGCATAATACACCTTTAAACACATTATACTTACAATTACATTACAAGAACATTGGCACTGGACAAAAACAGCTCCTCACCCACCATGTTCCTGAAAGTAATGAGAGATCTAGAGAGTCTTCCACCCTGTACACGTACATTAGGACTTGCTCCCATCTGTTTGTTCTATTTAGCTTTATGGTGGATGGCATTCGTAAGTGTTTCATTACTGCAATTTGCTGGACTGTCCCTTGCCCAGTCTATTCTGGCATTGCCATGACATGTGTGAAAAGGCACAAGACGAAAATGTTCCTTAATGTAGTGTATGTGTGAATGGTGGAAATTTCTAGCTGTGCCTGAAAGGCTATCCCAGTAATTTACCTAAAATGATGTGTGAAAGAGACTAAATACAGAGATGCAGTGTAGGATATTGAGCTGTGGTCGTGAGCAGATACATAAATCCTACAGCAACTTCAAGTTGATTGTGAACTTGTGCTCAGATAAGTAGACTCCAGTGTGTAAATGAAGGGATTTATTGTGATCTGCAGGACAAATTGTGTCCTTTTTCCATTGTTGGTGTAATTTCTTTTAAATTCACACCTCTTCTTGAAGTGTCTTTATGGTCCGGGGTTTCACCCCAGCTGAGAAACAATTAGACAC